CATTATTAAAGCATAGTTATTAATCACAAAAACAATATGTAATTATATATGTGTTTTCTGATAGTCTTAGGCGACCTCTGTGAAAGGGTCGTTCAACTCCCAAAGGGGTCGCGGCCCACAGGTTGAGAACCACTGTTCTAGGGTAAGTGCTACTGTCCCCAGAGAGAAAGCAGAGGGGATAGGACTGGGAGATGTTGCAGAGATAAAGGCATAGGAACCTGGTGGCCATCTGGAAGGTGGGAGGAGAGGGGGAAAGAGAGGGGAGGACCCTGTTGGAGTTTCCTCCGTGGCTGGGAGGAGTGTCCTCAGGACTGAAGCTCCTAGCTCCCTTCCTGGTGACCCTGCACATAGTGGCTAAATAGCCCTGCAGCCTCGCAGGAGATCTGGGCTCCTCCATGCAGGCTCCTGAACCCCTGATGCAGTTACCTCCCTCTTCCCGAGGTGGGAGTTTCTAGTGCAGCCTTCTCCCCCTGGGAGCAGGAAATAAAAACAAAAAAAACTGTAGAGCCCAGCCAGCCTGTCTCAGTGGTTGAGTGTCGACCTATGAACCAGGAGGTCACGGTTCGATTCCTAATCAGGGCACAAGCCTGAGTTGCAGGCTCAGTCCCCAGTGTGGGGTGTGCAGGAGGCAGCTGATCAATGATTGTCTCTCATCACTGATGCTTCTATCTCTCTCTCCCTCTCCGTTCCTCTTGGAAATCAATAAAATTATATCTTTTTAAAAACTACTAGGAAGGAAGGAAGGCAGGAAGGAAGGAAGGAAGGAAGGAGCAGGAAGGAAAAGAAAAAAAGAAAGGGTGTAGACTGGGTCAGGAGACACAGAGTTAGTGACGAACAGCACTGGAGGAGGAGTGACAGGAACAGGTTGTGGTCCGACATCTGGTCCTCCTGGCTGTGTTACCCAGGCAAGTCACTGCCCCTCTCTGGGCCTCAGCAATATAAACACAAGGAGTTACTATGCGTCCACAGGGAGAAGTCTTTCATTCATCTTCAACTGGAGCTTAAAGGTGTCAAGATTTGAAACGTGTGACCCAGAAACCAAGGGTCCTTACCTCTCGGGGGTCTCCATGTAAATCAAGACGGAAAAAATTCTGTGAAAACAAAGGCAGGGGATGTGGGTGAGAGGCTTCCTGGGGAAAAGGCTGGTCTTAGTCAGCTGCCGCCAAAGGCATCAGGTTCTATCCTCCCGGTGCCGCCCTGACTGGCCAAGAGGAAGTGGGCAGGGCACTGGCTCCCCTGGGCATGAGCTCAGGGTCTAGCTGTGTGTGGGGGAGGGGAGCTCTGGGGAGGATTTCTGTTGTGTGTGCCTGCCCTGCCCTCCATCCATTTCCCCTTTTAGTTTTCTAGACAACAACACCCTGGTTTTTTAAGGGGGCCTCCCTCATCCTCAACCAACGGTCCTCAGGACTGAACGATCCTGGGCCCTGAGTCCAGACATCTATAGAAGACCTGGGTGCTCCATCTTCCTGACCACAGAGATTAACTCATGGATTGGCATGGTGCCCATGTCAGGACAGTAGACATTACCCCAAACTCTTGCTAGAATTATTGGGAAAGGGCATTTCTAAGCAGATCGGATATATGTCTAGACTAGAGTGCTGCTGTTGCCTTGAACCTCCCCAGAGGACCAACCTGCCTGAGAGTAAACCAACGCTAAGAGGCAAAAGTTAAGGGGTACAGACAGATTCTAAATAATAGATGTGTGTCTGGGTCCAGCCATGCCTGAAGCCATCTACTCCTGAACTTTTCAGTCACTTAAAGATTCTGTGTCAACACATTCCTTTTTTTGCTAAAGACACTTTGCAAAGAGATTTCCCATCTTGCACCAGAAAGTCCTCACTCATATACCCTCACTGAAATTCCGGGATTGGAGAGAGTGCATGTTGGGCTGAGAGACTCCCTAACCCCCATGCAGAAATTTCATGCACCGGGCCTCTAGTAGTGTAATAACCCTCCAGCTTGGTCAAAATGTACTATGGTACCATTCTTCTTTTCAGAGATATTTTTGAATATCCATCAGGTGGCTTGTCCTCTCCTGAGCTGCAGCCTGGCTGGTCCCCACCCCATGCTTCTCTCTGTGTATGCTCACCACTATTGCGCTGGTTCATGCTACACTATAGTTAACAGGTCTGACTAGTAGGTAGAAACTAACCAGTTGAGTCCCTTCATTATAGGCTGTATTTCTACAGGCCAGGTGCTTATGGTGTGCATGCGCGCGTGCGTGTGTGTGTGTGTGTGTTGGGAGAGTGGATAAACATGGAAAGACTTCCACATGATCCCAGAAAGTCTCAGAAGGGTAACATGGGTTCTCTGAGTTTTCCCAAGTGACCAGTCCTCCCCTTAGAACCTTACAAGCTGGGTCCTCTTGTGCCACGTGGAATAAATGTGTCTCTTTCCAGGCTTCAGGAAACAGCTGTGTTTTAATTCTTTCAAAACACTGGTCACCTTTATTGAGTCTGAGAAACCGGGACCCAAGCCCTAAGGCTGCCCTGGGTTCAACCCATGGACACAAAGTGGAGCTCCACATGAGAGGCCTGCCTTGGGGGCCCAGGAATGTCTCCGGAAGCCCATAGGGTCCAAACAGCAAGTGCAGGGACTCAGGTTACTTTTGGGCCCATCTATGAAAAAAAGGGAAGAGTTCCCATTGGCCCTAGATGCTGTATTCTCTAGGTGTCTGTCCCACTGTAGCTTCCCTGTAATGACCCTTGCCATAGCCACCCTTCAGTCCTCAAATGTCACCTTCTCTGTGAGTTACCCCTGCTGATTATAATGAATGATCCTCTTCTCTGTAGTCCCACCACAATGGCGGATGGATGGATGGATGGACTGATGGATGGATGGACTATGGATGGATTTGGTCAATACATGGATTATGGGTTCCTTTAGATGGTTAAGGGATAATTGGGTGATTCCTAGTATATACATGATAAATGCATCATTGATTTTAGAGGGATGAATGGTGAAGTAAAGATATATGGTGGTTGGATGATGCATGCACGATTGATAATAGATCAATGAAGTTATGGATAGATTGATATTAGGATGATAAAAGGATATTGATGAATTGGATATATTTGTGGAGGGATAGACATATAATAAGATGATGAATGGATGGATGGTTAGCCTAGGATAAAATCTAGAAACTTGGGCCACCACTGGGTCATAACTGATCATTTCTAGATTAACCAATAATAATTTTTGACAACCTTTCTGAAATCTTTGTTCTTGATATCCCCCTTCCCCAAATTCAGGATGGTAGTTACCTCTAGGAGTAAATAGTGTCTAATTTCTTTAAAAAAGTATCTCTGAAAACAAGAATGGCGCCATAGTACATTTTGACCAAGCTGGAGGATTATTACACGATTGATCACTATGTTAGTTTTTTACTTTGCTAACATTTCAGGTATTTCGTAATAAAAGAGAAGAAAAGAATTTCCCTATTTAGGTTGAGGGGTGCCATTACTCCAGAGAGGAGAGACCCTGTCCCAGGCAGTGTTTCTGGGACAAGGGAGCAGCTGAGATGATAAAGCCTGGGGCCAAGTTCCCAGGGCAGTGGTGGTGGTGGGAGGTTGGGGGGGCCTGTTTGGAACGTGAAGGGTGGAACCTACCATCTTCAGCGACGTTTCCAGGAGCTCCTCCTCCGACCTCTGGCGCAGGCAGTGCACCATGACCGCCGAGGTGGTGGTTTGACAGCCGGCAAAGGAAGCGATTTGCTTTCCTTCTCTCTCTTAAAATGGGCCAAAGGCTCTCACAGCCGGATGTCTGCAGAGGGGTAGCTGGGAGTGGGCTTCAGGGCATGGCGTCCAGAATCCCACTGTCTGGTTTCAAATCTCGGCTCATCCTCTTACTAGCCTTTGGACTCCATCTAGCGAATCGTGCACAGTGCGGCCAGAGGAGAGGTTGACACAGAGAGAAGAGAGCAGGCTCTTCCATGGCGGCCGTGGAGAGCGTACATTAAGGGGAGCTTGGGGAAAGGTGCTATGAAGAATAAAAAGTCTTAAATTCCCCTCATTGGCCAATTTCTAGTTCCTGTGTGACAGCAGAATCTGCCCCAGCTCTGCCACCTGTTTCCTCTCAATAAATCCCCCCTTTCCTGACTTAAGCCTGGCCAAGTGGACTTCTGCTGTTTAGAACGAAAGAGTTCTGGAAAACCTCAAAATTCTCGCCCTCTTCGTTTCCTCCCCTACTCTCTACCAGCCAGCCCCTTTCAGCCTGGCAGCTGTACCCACTGAGCCACGAACCAGGAAACTACTCTCACAGCCCAGCTAAAATGCTCCCACCCCTGACTCCAGTGAGCGCTCATCAGCAGAGCCCCCCCCTCCCACCTCCACCCCTTGAGCTCCCCTCCTTGGATCCCTAACAGTCTCCAGATAAAGACAAAGTCCTCCCCGGGGTCCCAGACAACAGGGCACCTGCCAATTTCCCCAACCTCAGTTCACTCCAGGTTCCCTCTGCTCTTTCTGCTCTGGCCTCATCAGCCCCTCTCTCTCTCAGACACTTCCTCCTGCCACAGGACATTTGCACACGTCCCTCACCTTCCTCAGACATTTATTTCTCACCAAGCAGGTTATGCTCATCCTGGGGATCTCACGTTAGTGGTCATTTCTTCAGGGAGCCTTCCCCCCTACACCCGGGACTAAGGGCTCCAACTGAACTCTGTCATGATATTAAGTACCTCTCCTTCCTGCTCCTGCCATGGCTGACATTGTATAACTGTGTGATTATGTAGTTGTTAATCCGTCTCCTCCATGAGAATGGAAGCCGCACAAGGCTGCTAGGTGTCTGGCTGTATCAAAATTATTTGTTGCCTGGCCAGCATGACTCAGTGGTTGAGCGTCCACCTATGAAGTAGGAGGTCACATGCCTGGGGTGTACGCTCGATCCCCAGTGTGGAGCCTGCAGAAGGTAGACGATCAATGATTCTCTATCATCATTGATGTTTCCATCTCCATCTCTCTCTCTTCATGTCTGACATCAATAAAAAATATGTGTATTTTTAAAAGTTATTTGTTGAGGCAACAAATAAATTGACGAATAAATTCTCCAGGAACCCACAGTAGTCACAAGGACCCTCAGGGAGATATCTCTCCAGGCCCATATGTGGCCAGGGTGGGAGGAGGTGCCCAGAACTCAGGCCGTCTGAGAGATGACACGTGGTGACAGTCCACTCCCCACGCTCAGCCAGGCAGCCCACCGTGCACACTCTGGGGAGCATGGTCCGTGGACAGTGACGGTGCTGGCAGGCCAGTCAGGAGCCTGAGTCCCCGCTCTGCCCCGATGCCTCGCTGACCTCGCTGAGGGGCCTCTGCTCTCTGGCTCAGCCATTCTTCTGGGATGATCTGGGCGTGTCAGCTGAATCCCATGGCAATGCAGGCCCCTGAGGACTCCAGGGCAGCAGAGCAAAGGGGGTAAGGGCTGCCCAGCAGGAGGCCTACCTGAGCTGTGGCCTTGGTGTCTTTCTTGACCAGGGAAGAGATGAGGGACACACCACTCTGGGAGATGGCCCGGTGGAAGAGATTCTTGGCCAGGGGAGATAACACCTGGGAGGGGAGCAGAGACGAACAGAGTTGAGGTTCACGGGGAAGCGTCTTCAAGAGCTTCCCTAGCTCCACCCGGGCCCATTCCCCTGGGCTCAGTGGACATAACAGGGCCCCGCCTGGCCTGTTCCCCAGGCTGACCCTGAGGCCCAGTTTCTGTAAGAAAACCTCAGCTGGGTAGAGCCAAGGGCACAGAGCAAAGAACACAAAGGCAGTGTGTGGCAAGCGCCGACTGTAACTATCAAAAGTATCTGAAAGACAGTTTGGCAATTCCTGGTAACACTTTCAAGACAGAGTTCTGAGTCTACATTTCCATTCCTAAACACTCACCCTAAGCTAGGTGATCCTGGAGGGACACGAGGGTGTCTGGGGTGCCCATGCTGCTCATGATGGGGAAAGTGGGATGGCATTGAGTAAATAGCTCCTTTTTAATTCTTACCATGAAATATTATACAAAATAAAATTATGGGAGGGTACTTCATGCTTAGGAAAATACTTATGTTAGATTGTAATGTTAATGATGTTTTTTATTTAAAAAATCATAGATACATGATAGATAGATAGATAGATAGATAGATAGATAGATAGATGATAGGGTGATTCATCAGAAAAAGACTAGAAAAGTAAGTGTCAAAATGTCCATGGTGACAATCCCTGGGTAATAACATTGTAGGTCAACTTATCTTCTTCTTTGGGCTTTTCTGAACTTCTCCTCTTTCTCCACTTCACAAAATATAAAAGCTTCCTCTGAATATTTAACTATGAAAGCAAACATGTTTTAAAATATGGTAGCAGCACAGACACTCTGCTCAGCTGTGAGGCAGCTGGAGGGGTTCTGGCAGCTCCCAGCACCTTCTCATCTGGTTCTCCATCTTTGATTCTCTCTGTGTTCTCTCCGTCCCCATCTTCCACACCAGGCTCCCAGGTGAGTCTGTGTCCCCTTGGCTCCATCTCCCACACCAGGCTCCCAGGTGTGTCTGTGTCCCCTGTCCCATCCCCACCTCTACACCACCCTCCCCTCCCCCACCCCTCTCACTTGCTTCCCCCAGCCCAGCGTTCACAGAGACTGCCGTCCTCCTTCGTGGGCATGGACAAACCACAAGACATCCTGTTCTTAGTGAGTGCTCATGAACTCCTGACATGGGGATCGATCTGGCTTGAGGCCACACAGTGACACTCTGTCCAACTCTCACAGCTGCCTCCTCTTCCTCATAATTTACACCCACCCTGCTCCCCAGGAGAAGTGAGGAGAGTCCTCATGGAGAAGGGATTAGGAACTCAGCCAAGTCAGGAGGGATGTTGCAGGCCGGGGCTGGAGATGATTATGGCCCCAGGATGCTGGCGGAGCCCTAAGCTCCCGGGGGAGAGTTGGGCCATTAGGTTTCCACTATCTGCTCTGTGCAGAGTAGGGCCAGCCTTGAACCCAGGTCATGTTAATAAAGGCCAGCAGGTCTCCCAGGGAGTCCATCCGAAGCCACATCGGGGCCAGGAACACTTACAAGAACAGAGACACTTTCAGCTCCCGCAGACTCTCCGAAGATGGTCACAGAGCCTGGGTCCCCTCCAAAGTTGGCAATGTTTTCCTGGACCCAGCGCAGCGCGGCCAGCTGGTCTAAGTGACCCCAGTTGCCCCGGCTGTGTTCATCCCCTGTGCTGTGGGTAAGAGAAGGGGGGAAGGGGAGGTAGAGTCATCAAGGCAGGATTCCCAAGACCTTAGCTTGGGCTGGAGGCTCTAGGTGAGCCCTCCACAACCCAGACTCACAGGTGTAGCATTGTTTGTTTAGCTTTCCATTCATTCACCTGGCATGTAATTACTGAGTATCTGCTATGTGCCAAACACTGCTCTAAGAGCCCGAAGCAAAATAGACAAAATCTCCAATTAAATGGAGCTCACTCTACAGATCATCAACAAATAAACAGGTACATATCTACTTATATAAAAACCCTGGGCTAAGTTCATCAGGAATGGGTCTGGTGACCAAATGGAAGCAAGTCAGTCCTGCAGGGGTTGTCTTGGCAACAGCTGCGCCCTCCCCCGAGTTGTTTCCTGGAGCTGTTTCCAGTGAGGGCAGGGTTTGAGGCAGGAACCCGCCCTCAGAACGTGTACCCACTGAATCTTGGGTCGATTAGCCAAGGGCTGCACCCTCCCTAGCTATTTTCCATGCAGCCTGAGGGAAGAACCCACCCTCAGAGCACCAGGAGCACCCAGCAGCAGTCAGTCCTGGGTGGCTGGGGGGGAGGCCACGGCATGGTAGAACTCTGGGCCTGGCTCAACAGGGAGCATGGCTGACCTTCAAACAAGACCCTGATAGTAGAAAGAAGGGAGCCCCATTCCTCACAGAATCTGCTGTTGGATAGCTTGCAGTTAGTGGCCTGCCAGCCAGGAACCCCATTCTCCTGCACCCTGGACCCTCACAGCAGGGAGGAGGGAGCCCCTTTCCTCAAGCAATCAACAGGTGGCCAGTTTGCTGTCAGGGGCCTGCCAGCTAGCAATCCTATTCACCTGCACCCTGGCCCCTGACAGAAGAGAGGAGAGAATATGTTTAAAGACCAACTACTGGAACAAAGTACCTCTGAAGCCAAAAGAAGCCACTGTTTCATCAGTTAGAAACACTGATGAAAGAGAAACATAGATCAACTACCTCCTGCACACTCCCCACTGGGGATGTGCCTGCAACCAAGATACATGCCCTTGACTCCCCACTGGGGATGTGCCTGCAACCAAAGTACATGCCCTTGATCAGAATCGAACCCGGGATCCTTGAGTCTGCAGGCCAATGGTATATCCACTGAGCCAAACCGGTTAGGGCTATTAATTCCCTTTTAATGTGCATGAATATTGTGCACTGGGCTACTAGTAAGAATATAACACCAGTTAGTGAAAATGCTCTCAGGGTAAATAAACCAGGGTCAGAAAAAGGCAGGGGGGCGGGGCGGGGGGGAAGTTGGGTCTTATTACAGATCAGATGTCTAGGGAAGGTCTCTCGGAGGCAGGTGCATCTGAGTAGAGATCTGAATGAATGAGCACAAGAACCTTGCCAATATCCAAAGAAAGGATTTCCAGGTGAGAGAGATAGCATGTACAAAGGCCCCAGGGTCCAGTGAACAAAAGTGTGAAGGGAGAACATGCAGCCAAGAGAAGGAAGTATTTAAAAGAGGTGTGAGGGGTCATATGTGGATGCTGCCAAGGTTGGGCCCAGAGCGGGTGAGTCATTGGGCAGCTACTCCTCGACCAGAACAGTCCAGTGGCGTGGTCTGAGTAGAAACCTGACTGGTGTGGGGAGAGGAGAGACTGGAAGGAGAGAAGGCGTGGAGAGCTGATGGAGCAGTTTTAATGTAACGGGGAGCAGAGAAACAGGTCGGGTGTGAAAGAGATGAAGAGTCTCAATGAGGGCATTGCATCCTAGGACATGACTCCCCTAATACCCTCCTCCAGCCCTACAGGTCTTTCCAGTGAGTGTCCACCCCACCTCCTGTCCATCATCCATCGATGGGTCCAAGGTCTTGGGGCCAGTTCATTCAGAAAACCTACCAGTAATTCTGCTCTAAGGAACCCTGGCTCCTTCTCCATGGAATTTCTATGGAGAAGACTGGAGCCTTGGCTCATGCACGTGCCAAATGCGGAAGCAATCAGGGCAATTGACCCCAACATTCCTCCTGGGAGGGTTGGCCTAGGGAATCAGATGCTCTGACACCTCCCAGCTTCAGCCACTTGTTCCATCACCCAGAAGCATTCACCGACCTCCAACCCAAGTCTGTCCTTCCCTCCTTTCCCATCAGAGGTGTGGTGTTGAACCTGCCGCTCTAACTGCTGTGCTGCTGTCATTCCAGAGGTGTCCCGTGTGCTGTGGCAGCACTGGGAAAAAGGAGGTGAGCATTTCAGAGGCGGGAACGTTAGAGTTGGGCCTTATGGCATGCATAGGAGTGGGTCAAGTAGAACAGGCATTCCAGGCAAAGGGAACAGCACATGCAAAAGCTCAGAAGCAGGTGGACCAGCGTGGTTGTGAAATGAGACAGTATTTGGAGCCCAATTATGAAGGGATTTGGATGCCTTTCTGGGGAACTGACATGCATGACCAGAGCTGGGTCCTGCCACCCTCACTTCAAGGGCCCATGTGCTGTGCGGAGTCCAATATCTTACCTGAAGAATCCCCAGAGGCCCAGGCGGTACTGAATGATCACCACCACCACGTTTTCATGGGCAGAGAGGGCCAGCCCGTTATAGGTTGATGCCCCGCCCACCAACAGACCTCCTCCGTGGATCCACACCATCACCTGGACAGGGAAGAAGCAACCACACAGGTCACAGATAGGAGCAGAGCTGGGAAGGAACTCCAAGTGTTGTCTGGTTGATCATGATTGAAGGAGGCTGTTCTCTGAAGCTCATCAGCCCCCAGCAACGGTGGGGAAGGCAATCGCTCCCCACTCCTCCAGCAGGGACAGGCCACCCCACACCCATGCACCTGGCTGCCCCTGCCTGTCTCTCCAGCCCCAGTGCTGCCTGTTCCCAAGGCTCTTCATGCTGAGAACAGCATCATGGGAACAACCAAGGCCAACGGGGTCATCTTCCCCCAAATACTTCTATCATCCTCATGCCTGGGCCCCTCATCCTCTCAGCAACTCTGCCTGGGCAGCCCTTGGATTTCAGCATCATTAACACATCTTTTGAGGTGAATTAAATTTCTCTGGTGTGTGTGAATGACTACCTCAAGAAGCATCCACGTCCCTAGTGGTATCTCTTGCTCACATCACTCCCTCTGAACCCAAGGGACTGCCCCCTGCAGACCCACCCCCAACTTCTGGCCGCCCATCTCTGGGCCTCTGCATATTGAGGAAATGCTGACTCACTGGGACATCGCCCCAGCCAAAGACAATTAGGAAGAGAAATTAGCTCAAGAACATCTCAGATACTGAGGCAAAGACAAAGAAAGACTAAACACCTCCCATTGGCTCGATTTTTCAGAGAACCCTGGCCCTATCCTGCCAACCCGACTGGGTGGCCTCGCCTTCACCGTTTCTCTGTCTGTAAAAGGAGGGTTGGGGTGTTGCCTTCTCAGTGAGATTCCTTCAAGCTCTAACTTGACTGGAAAGCATGCCTTAGCTTCTCTGGCAATCAGATGCCTAAGCTTGCTAGTATCAGTAGTCACGCTTGTCCCTCTGTTCGCATGAGCGAACGTGGAAAGAACTGACGATAGGTTACAGATGTACAGCGAGGTCCCCGGGAGGCACCATGACTATCGCCGGGGGAAACTGAGGGATGGAAAATGTGTGTTCCTGGGGTCACGTGGCCTGACCAGGGAGAGCAAAGGAAGCCCAGGGCCCCTGAAATAGCCATGGCTGGGGCACTCCCCCACCATGCTGCCTTCCTCCTCCCCAGTCCACACCAGGAGATCCCTCAGACATAGAACACACACCTTACCGGCAGCCTGCTTTTCCTCTTCAAGTCGGCGGGAGTGTAGATGTTTAGGTAAAGGCAGTCTTCAGAGAACTTGAGAGGAATGTTCTCCTTTCTTTTGGTAAAGAGCTCTGAGAGCATCTGGCCCGACTTGGCATCTTGGGAGCACCTTGGGGAGGTGTGTGGAGGGGGAGAGTCATATACTCAGGTTCAGCCGGAGCTGCGCACAGAGCCGTGGCCTGGGAGCTCTGTGCCTGTGCAAAGCTGCTCTTACCAGAGAGAAGACGTTGAGTGGGTAGGAAGCCATAAGCGGGGGCCCTGGGGCTCACTAAAGCCTCCCAGCATCATGTATAGCGAGAAGGCCTGGCTCCTCTCTTCGTCCGGGCAATTTGGGATGCACCAGGTCATGGAGAAGAGGCTGCCTAGCTGCTGCCCACCTGGGAGATAGTCGTCCTGACACCCTGGACAAAGCCCAGCTCTGGGCTGTGCTCCCATGGAGGGTGCAGTGGGGCCGTGCACCTCCACCAGGTCACCCATGTGGTTGAGTCCACAGGAGACTCCCATTCACTCAAATGGCAGCAGATGTGTGGGGCTGGTGACAGGTCAGGGGTCAGATATTTGCAGGGCGACATCAGAACTGCACAGGCCCTGGTTTCCCTGCTCTGGGCCCCCAGCTGCCAGGTCTGAGTGAGTGGAGTGGTTTCTAGAAGAATCTTGCAGCCCTGACATGCTAAGAGTCTATCACCAACCCATCCGTCCCAGGCAAGCACTGTTGTTTGCCCTAATAACAGACTGTGAGCAGCCGGCACAGATGACAATTGGCGAGTCCTCCCAGTGAGTCAGGCATTCACTACTCCTTGTGAACAGGTAACGAGACACACCTGGGAACTGAGAACTTGCCAGGTCCACACCCCAAAGCACTTCCACCCACACACCTGCTGGCTCACCCCACTCTCCAAATAGAGCAAAGTACAAGTCTGGAGAATAAATAGAGTCAGTACCTCTGATCCCCATCAGCTGCTTAATTTTTTAAAAAATATATTTTATTGATTTTTTACAGAGAGGAAGGGAGAGGGATAGAGAGTTAGAAATATCCATCAGTTGCCTCTTGCACACCTGCCACTGGGGATGTGCCCGCAACCAAGGTACATGCCTTGACTGGAATCAAACCTTGGACCTTTCAGTACTCAGTCCAACGCTCTATCCACTGAGCGAAACCAGTTAGGGCAGCTGCTTAATTTAAAAAAGTTTTTTTTTTTGCCAAAGCACTTAGTATCCTATCTATACAAATAAAAGGGTAATATGTTAATTAGATTGGATATAACGGACATCTTCCGGATGTTCTTCCAAAAAAGCTGCAGTGGCTGCGAGGGCCAAGGAGGTCCAGAGGCCGGCAGTGGCTGAGGAACACCTCTTCCCAATGAACAAATTTTCGTGCACCAGACCTCTAGTTCTAACATATTATATAATGTATGTATTAATTTGCATGGTGTTTATCATCTATCTCTCCCAGCTGGAACACAAGCTCCATGAAGGTAGGAATATCTGTTTCTTTCACTAATGGAGCCAAAGAACCTAGAACATGCCTAGCACACAGTAGGTGCTCAAGAAATACTTGTTGAAGAAAGGGTGCTAGCATGCTGTGGGAGCTCTGGAATTTGTTGTTTATAACTATACTAGAGTCCCGGTGCACAAAAATTTGTGCACTCGGGGGAAGGGGGGGGTCCCTCAGCCTGGCCTGTGCCCTCTCACAGTCTGGGACCCCTCGGGAGATAACGACCTGCTGGCTTAGGCCTGCTCCCGGGTGGCAGAGGGCAGGCCCAATCCCTAAGTGCAGCCCCTGGTCGGGCTCAGAGCAGGGCTGATTGGGGAGTTGGGATGCCATCCCTGTAATGCACAGAGCAGGG